TTTTTTTTGGCTGGGACCTTCCCTAGTCCTTGCACGGCTGGGTCGCCCGGGAAATAGGCTGACCCGGGCGGCCCGGCTGGTAGCCTAGGTGATAGACCTATAATTTCTTTTTCTTTCTCTTTTTTTTTTTTCCTTTTTTTTTTTTTTTTGGGCAAACATCGACAATGGAATGTAGAGGGGGTGCTGATAAGAGCAGACACTCCGTCTACGCTCCCGTATCACCTTTCCTGTACAAGAGGGAGGCACTGTGCTGGGTGGTATCCTATTATATGACGATATATATATCTATATCTATATATATCGTTAAACAGATATTATATTATATATTTATTTGTTAAATTTGTTTTGTTTGACTGTTTATTTGTGCATGTCCACTATGATATCCTTTCTTTCTTTTCCGGCTCATTCTGATTATCCTTTGTATGGGGTGATTGTATTGGGGCAGATTACAAGCAGGCTCTCAAGGTAGATGGAAAAAATGAAGAGCTTGCAAAGATCATCCAGGAGCTGGAGAAGGATATATGGAACAAAGAAGAAGAGAAGGCCTTGATATCACAGGTCAAGAGGAGAAAGCAAGGAGGGCCTGGAGATGGAGAGTCTCCTTCGCTTTCAGAATACACCAAACAGGGGGAATGCATTGACAGCGTGGAAGACCTAGTTCTGAAGCTGAAGGCAGATGAAGGGATGTCGACGGAGGGATTTCAAAAAATCGCGCAAGACTTAAAATCTATCCTTGTAAATGGTGAGTAAAGTTTCTCCATAGCTAAGGAAAAAGTGTGCTCCCTGCACCATCGTAGAACGACAATCTCATTTATCAAAACAAGGCAAGCTGGTAGATAGGTTTCACTTTCCCCGGGCAAAGAAGAACTCTATACTAGAGCTGCCCTGGTTTGGGCTGGCGTGAGAGAGAGGTATGGTAGGGATTAAAGGTAGAATGTCAGGGGCAGAGCATGGGGATTACTGGAAGCTGGAATCTGGCTGCTCAGTAGTAGCTAAAGAGGGGGTTCTATTGACTGTCCTGGTTCCTCTGTTGCTATCAGTTTGAGCCAATATGGGATAATGCTGCTAGCACTAGTATGACTATTTGGCGGCCTCGATTGGGCTGAAGAGGCAGTGCTCTCTCTTTCTATTCAGGCTTATATCTCAAGATTTTTTGTATATGGGATGTTGGACCCGTTTTCCAGCAGGTGCAGCTCCCCACCAAGAGACTGGAACGTTAAAATAAAAAAAAAAAAAAAAAAAAAAAGAAGTTGAGCCAATAGTTAATCCTCTGGTTAGTCATCGTAGTCGTCTATTGAATGCTTGTGATTTATGAACGGGAAGTCGGGCCTGCTTCCCAGCACATGCAGCACATGCTGCTCCCCATGAATAGATTGGAGCCATATCTGTAGGTAGAACATCTCCACCGCGGCAGGGGCATGTTACCCTGGCCGGCAGATGGACATCAAGTGGTATATAGTATAAATGTATTTCTTCGTCTGAGTCATGGTTTAGGGTTTTGATGAGACCAAAAAAAAAAAAAAAAAAAAAAAACACTAAATGTAGTTTTGTCGTGGGGGCAGTTGGAATAAGCAAAAGATGCAAAAATAGTGGTATTTGTTGAACATCTTTTTTTGCTTTTAGGAACGCATATCGCTGGACCACGTCAGTCAGTACCTTGTCGGACGGGTCATGGGGCCGACCAATTGCCACATCCCTACGTTGTGGTGTGGCTTGTTGTGGAGAAGGCAGCTGGGCACTCTGATGACTGCAGCCGTGCAGAGCATTGGCGTGTCCAGCTACTTAACCCTGATAAAAGGGCCTGTACCCAATTCAGACCCTGTTCGGCAAATGCAGCATAGAGGGGTCACTCGCCAGGGCCCAACTCGTGAAAGCAGATCAAAGGACACGTTCTCTGGGTCAAAAGTCACATCCTAGCTAAGTCAAAGCCAATGTCAAAGGTCACAGTTGTGCCCTGTACGAACAGCTGCAATATCTGGACTTGGGAGTCACATCTGTTCGTTCGGGGGGGGGGTGCGCAGGTCATGTCTGTTCAGGCAAGAGATGTGTCTGTTCGTGCAGTATGAGTGTCTGTTCGTGCAGAATGTGTGTCTGTCCAAAAGGAAGTCAAAGGGCAGGTTCCCAGTGCTGTCTAAGTCTAATAGGGGGTCTAGATTCAGACACCCAGTCCGAAATCCAGGCCAAATGGCCGCAGCAGCAGTAGACCCTGAGGGGAAAATACTGGGACACACACATATGCATGGGTCTGGGACTGAAGGAGGCCCAAAGTGCCAATACAGACCAATGCAGACCTCGCCAGGGGAGGCCAGCAGCATAAAGCAATAGGCCAGCTTCCCTTGACAGGAGATTCCCACTGGCATTATCAGCGTGGAAGTGCTGCGTGCACTTGTGCGCTGGCTAGCTGGGTTAGCGCTGGAGGAGAAGCTGCRCTGRAAGGAAGAAGGAGCTGGGCGCTGGCTTGCAAGAGGCAGCCATAGCTGCACCAGCCAAGTAGCATAGTTAGAGGGTTAGTTGTTAGTCTACAGTGAGTAGCATTCAAAGTAGATCTTCGTGGCAGGAGTGTGCATGTATGATGAGAGAGGAGGACTAAGACTGAGATCTTGAGTGTGAGAGAGAGAGAGGGAGAAGAAGGACAGGTTGACAAATGGCTATGGTGACTACTTACCTGTTCTGCGCTCGCTGGTTGCTGTGAGAGGTGGTGCTGGCTAAGCCAGGCCCCATTATGTTGATGTTCGAGAGAGAGACAGGTCATGTTGTTGAGCGCCTGAAGACATGAACTCAAGATACTCTTTGTAATATGTTTGAGATAATATGAGCTGCGCGACTTGGTTCTCATCTCATCCCCATTCTGCGTTGTGTGTGGAGTCATAATCTGTGTGAATGGTGAAGTGGCATGCATTGTGTTACACTCTGGCAAGTGTTGACAGTCAGGTCCCTTGCAAACGTGGTATCAGAGCAGAAGCTTGTAGCACTCACTGCGCTGGCATGAGCAAGGCCGGCAAGAAGAAGAAGGGAACGCTGGCTTGATGATGATGTTGGCGATGGTAGAGTTGTGAGAGAGGTGGATTGGGATCTTGAGGAGAAGTAAGCCGAAGAGGAAGGGGCAGAAGATTACTTACCTGGAGCGTTGGAGTGCGGAGCGACGAGGAGCTTCATCGACGGCCACTTCAAAGAGAGAAGAACCTCCACTCCCCTTACCTGGCTATGTGTGTGTGATCTCTACTTCTTCCCCTCTCTGTTGGTCGCTGCTTCTGCTGTCTACCCAAGGTCTGGTCTGGAGTCAGGATACAAGTGTCTGGTCACACTCGAAGTAGCAGTGGTCGGAGTCCTGGTGGTCTTCTCTTCAACCCCTCTGAGTTGTCATCTGTAGGAGGTAGTAAAGGTGGGGGGAACACTGGTTGTAATGGCTGATTGCCACGTCAGATAGCAGTCACAACATAAGGTCTAAACTGGGCAGTAGTAGTAGTGTGATACAACATTGTCCAGGCATCTGACAAGTACACACTCCAGTACCCCTGCGCAAGAAGACAGACAGTTAGTGTTAATAAAAACAAAGAGAGAACACACAGATCAGTAAGGAAGAAGGAAAGAACTAATTGAGTGGGAGACAGACAGCGTGTAAAAAAAAAAAAAAAAAAAAGTTCTACTTAAGTTCTTTATTATTTGAAATTCGTTATTGTGAAAGCAGCGATTCTCAGAGTCTGAAAAAAAAAAACAAAAAAAAACAAGCATAGTATTTTATCTACTTCAGACTAAGTTTAGTGACACCTGAGGGAAGTATCTTGGTGGAGCGGCGGAGGACCACCTGTGCCGTCAGCCACCATGGTTGACTTTCCCATGCAGGGAATTCTGGCCCTTTCTGTTTTATTGGGCCCCCTCTTCAGGATCTTCTTTCCTCTGGGGTTTGGGAGAACATGCTCGTCCTGTATGATGATGCGGTCGGGGACAATTAAGCCAAGGCCCACGCCTGCTGAACAGGCAGAAATCGATCGTTGGCAGGCAGAGAAAAAGAAAAAGAAAGAAGACAGAAAAAGACAAAAGGAAGAAGAAATAAAGAAAAAAGTGCAGGTAGAAGAAGAAAGATTAAAAAGGGAAATGAAAGCAAAATTTGGAAAAACAATTAAGGAGGAATTGCAGACAATTGAAGAAGAAGATGAACCTGCCGATGACAGACTCATCAGACGGCGGACAAAAAGAGGTGAGACTAGTTAGACAGGTGGAGGACTTGAAGTCAAGCCGCTGGACTGGTATGACCAGTATGCATACTCCAGCTATCGTGTAGAAGAGACAGAGGCAGAAAGAGATGCATTTCTTGCAAAGTTGACAACCACTGCAGACCAAAGGGAAAAAAATCTTTTGTTTGAGGAAAAACGTACAGAACTGCATAGCAACATGTTAGCAGCAAAGCGGCGGGAATTAAATGAAAGAAAAAGGCTGCAAGTAGAGGGTGCAAGATTGCATAAAGAGCTGCAAGACCAAAAAGACAAGCAAGCAGCAACGGAAGAGAAACTTGCCCTCTTTACCGAAACAGTCCTTCACACACAACAAGAGGTAGCGGCAAACGCCGACAATAAATAGAACCCTGCAAAAGGTTGAAACTCACCAATATGAGTTTGAGGGAGTCTGGAATACCTTTCTGCAGAAGTCCGTTAAAGATGTCGATCTGCATATACAATCCTATATTGAAAAACTAGACAATCACATCACACAGACCTTTACTCCGGCCGTAATTGAGAAGATAGTCGGAAGCAGCGGCGGAGGAGGAGGTGGAGATGGAGACGGAGACGGAGGAGATGATAAGAAAGGAAAGGGAGTGCTGCGAGAAGATAAGGATACAGATGTACGAAAAATAAAGGTCAAAGTTCCATGGACATACAACGGTAAGAAAGAGCAAAGTGTGCTACATTGGATTGGAGCAGTCGAGTCATATGTCTACGGACAACGCATTCCATACTGGGACAGGGTGCTAATGGCAAGTTCGTGTATGGAGCGAGATGCCATGAGCTTCGCCATCTCGCTACAAAAGGAGGCAGGTTGCAGCTCTATGGTAGAATAATCCTAGCAAACCCGAATTGAGGACTTTTTCAAAGTCATCCGAGACCGGTTTGAAGACAAGAACTTAGCCAGAAGGACATAAATGTTAGTCCTAAACTCGATAGAAAATGGAAAAGCACCTCAGCACTTAAAGCTACCATGGACGAACTGTTACAATGCAATGAACATGGACTGACCCCTGCTCAGATATTGAATAGTTTTGCACGCGCACTACCCGACCCCCTTCGTACTCAGTTGTATCCTCGTACAAAGGAGGATCGGATGACCTACGAGAAGTTCAACAAGATCGTCATAGATCACGCTGGCTTCTTGGATGAAGCTAACTATTGTCATTACTGGAAAGATCTGCAAGCGGGTAAAAAGTGGCAAAACCGCACAATCTCAGGGTCTATACCTGGGAAAGACAACCTCCTTCTGACCTTTGAAGAAGGAGGTGTCGAAACACTTTCTTGGGACCAAGGAGACTATGGTCTTGAGGAAGGACCCATCGGTCCGGTAGCTCAGGAGGGGAGCTACACAGTCATTGCAGCCCATGGGGGAGGGCGCCAAGGAAGAGGACGTGGCCGAGAAAGAGGAGGCTGCAGACGTGGTGGAAGAGGACCTGTACCCAGAGGGGTGGTGGCGAAGGTAGCTACTACGCGGGTGGAAGGGGTAATGGTCCCTCGCAAGGTGGCCGTGGTTTCAATTCTGTCTGGGGAAGAGGAAGAGGCACTTGGTACAACAATTGGGGCAAGCCATACCCACCTCATCCAGGTCTACCCGAAGGGGAACCTTGGAAGAAACTGGGGATCACAGAAAAAGTTTGGCAGGAAAGGAAAGATGCCGACCAGTGCCTTAAGTGTGGGGGCCCCGACCACATTGTCCCTTATTGCCCTGACTACAAGATGGCAAAAGGGAACAGCCAGTAGAGGTCCCAGTTGCCTCTACAGAGACTTCGGGTGTTGAAAAAAAAAAATCATCCCGTTCGAAGGTCCCATTGGCAGAAACTGAAGAGGTAGACAGTCCCCATCTAGTACACTGTCCAGAGGTGGCAAGCGTATGCATCTCTCTAGATTGATCCCTCGCTGGCATGGACGATGAGTTGGCCGCTGGTCGCCAAGCCTGTACTGAAATGAAGAAACGTAAAGGACAGCTAATAATTGCAGATTTTGAAGTCAATAAAGTAAGAGTAGGAGGAATGATAGACAGTGGGTCTACACGCAGTTATATCAGTAAGAAAGGTTTGCAAAAGTTGCGTCTCGGGCTTAAGGTAAAGCAATTGGATGCGCCCGTGGTGAGTAAATTAGTTAATAGTACGGTAACTGTAATGGATAGATATGTTAAAGGGGTTAAGGTATACTTCCCGCTCGAAGCAGAGGGGAAGGTGGAACACGGTGTCGCGCGCGGCGGTCCCACACCCAGACGTAAAGTAAAGTTTTTTGGTGTTAGACCTCACGGTCGTGTCACGCAAGAGTATCTTTTGTCACCCTTTACGAAAACACCACTCCGATCGTGCGCGCGTGCTATACCTCTCGCGACTCCCTACGACAGGGTTAGGGTCCCGCGAGGTACAACATACCTCCACCTGCGGGAGCTGTCACCATCCGTTAGGTGGACGTATCCCCGCTGGGCTACTGACCCACATACAAAGGCTTTTACATGCAATCGCAGAGGTAGGCCAGCCGAGGGCATTTTCTCGATCGCCGTAGTATAGGCATACGCGTGGTAAAATGCCTTAAGACTGACCCGTGAGTCGAGCCCCGAGGTGCTAACTCTCCGGACCGACTATCTAATCATGTCGACTTCTCGGACAGTCTTCCACGCTTAGCTAACTATGACAATGACTATATGTCCCCTTTCTTGACCTTATGGAAATGCCAGAGTCAAACCCTTAGTAATCTCTCATTTTTCAAAAGAAGTCCCAGACAAAATGACTTCCTAGGTACCGACCAGCCTACGACCCCATTCACAAGTATATATAGATATATGTATATATGTAAATCACAGGAGCTGACTGAGCGGTGGACCTCACTTTCATAATTCTCGTGTCCCTTCGCCCGAATTTCCAGAAGATCCCAAACTCAGGAGACAGTACAAATGTCCAACACCTGTGCAAATGCAAGAAAACCACATACACACATACAAATGCAGACACAAAATGCGCTAGAAGCGTCAACCTTTAATCCATTCATAGCATGCCACTCACGCCCCAAACCCTTGAAAACAACATTCCTTCCTAACCCTGACTCCATTCTATCCCAGCCTCACACATTTTGAAGTCTCATGAGTATGATTTGGACAATTTAGGCACAAATACAGGGGCAAAATTTATCTGTTCCCTTCTTAGGTCTTGTCTTAGGTGTGGGTGTCAAGCCATGGTGGAAGTTGAGTCGGAGTTCTACCGACCTGTTATCCAGAGATAACAGAATTGCTGCTCTTACGGATTTTCCCGTAAGTTCTCCGAAGTGTCGAAACCTGTAGACACAACACAGTCCAAGAGAATCTTAACATCTCTCTTCCTAACTAAGATCTAGAAAGTTCCTTCTAGACTCTATGTCTTCGTCTGACTTGTATCCTTAACTAATAGTTTGGTCTGTTGCCCTTTCGCTTCAGGTAGTGAATAACAGTTCACTTCCCTTTTACTATCGCCGTAATTCTCCATATCCTCTTCACTGTCTTATTCCTATCCCTTTTGGGATTATCCTATCTGAGTTTCCTTCCTTCCCCCCAACATCTCAACACATCATCAATCCAACTTGTGGAAAGAATTTCATGGAAAGGAAACAGATAAATGGATAGTTTTTCTCTTAGGCAATATTTCACTTATCCCCTCTTAGTAGAATCAGAGATAGTTAGTTAGAACTGAACAATGTAGTTTGTGGAGAAAGTTAGCGGTGGTATGGCAGACTATTCAGGATATATCCAATTGTTACTGGAGCTTGCTTGACAAAAGACAATCTTTGTGGGATTTGACCCTTGTGTGTCAAAACACATTTAGCGGTAGGCTTATCCTATGGCTAGTCACTGATAAGGCAGGTGTCCTTGAAACCTCGCTACTTCTTATATTGGATTAGTCATTGATAAGACAAGATTCCCCTGCTACTCTCATCATTGACTAGCCGTCAATAAGCAGGTGTCCAAGGATTCTTGTTATTCTTATCACTGACTAAGCGCTAGGATGTTTATTGATAAGACAGGTGTCCTTGAAACCTCACAACTCTTATATCGGACTAGTCATTGATAAGACAGGATTCCCCTGCTACTCTTATCACTGGCTAGCCCTCAATAAGGCGGGTGTCCAAGGGTCCTTGCTTA